TTCTTATGAAGCCGTGGTTGTTGTCCGCTTTCCCTCCTCCCTGAGGAGAATCATTTGTGCAGAATCCCGGCCAATCACGCTATACCATCATGGTATTACCTGCTTGACAACTTTTTCACTTGGATTGCCCCTTTTCATGTAAGTTTTTCTGCTGCTGAAAGATTTCTTTGCAAAACTTCAATTTCTATTTTTGGTCAAACCACCAACTTCAACTTTTAAACATCTTCTGCATAAAATGTCCGGCCAAAGAAGAGAATAGGCTCTGTGCAATCTTTGAATTTACGATATAAAAATAAAAAAAACTGCACTTCTAGACTTTGAATGACAAATCTTTCCATGTAGAAGGCTCTGCATAAACGTTTAAACATTACAAATCAATGGATTGGTTAATGTTCCTGCGCTAGTAATAGCGTGTTTGTATTTCAGTACATGATTACATATAGAGTCAATCCAACAAAAATTCCGGACACTAGTTTGACATTGTTATCCTTACTTCATTTCATCTTCTTCAGCATACATCTTCTGCAGAACTATCCAAGAACCAGTTGCTGAACCTAAGTCTGATTCTGAATTATGAATCTGTATCTGAATCAGAATTTGATTCTGTGTCCGATTTCCAATCAACTGGTTTCATCCTGTTCGTGTTGGCTTCTAGTGGAGGAAGTCCATCATCATCACTTGAGTCAAGCTCATTCTCTTCTTGTTGGGAGGTGTCTCCCTGCAGACTTGCATGGCATCCATCTGAAACTGTGGATTTGAAGATTTCTGGCCTGCATAAAAAGACCAGCAAAAAACAAAAGACAAATATGGAGAATCAAAAGAAGATGAGGTGGAGGAGATGCATGCAAGTGCTCGTTTCTTAGCAAACACTTAACACATTAGAGAAAATGTACCACAAGGCTGCAGGATTTTACACTACACTTCCATGAGCTACCTTTTTCCATCCTTCAGTAGGATTATGTGCTAGGCATGGATACTACGGTGGTGGCTTGTTGGATGGCTATTACAAAAAACAATTTTGACAGTTTCAACTTTATTAAGTTGTAACATAATGCTGCAACAGCAGACCTTCACACATATGAAGGAAGCCAGAGTGAAAATTGAGGGAGTTTTCAAAGTCTGGTAACCAAAACACAAAGGAACATCACATGCTTATGCAAGCGGTGTTTCAGAGAGCGGCAGCATATAGTGAGATAGTGGCACATCATTTTAAGATGGGAAGAGAATACACACCACTCTGGTGATTTCTTAAGCACACGAACTTGCTCGTAAAATAGAACCTGCGAAACAATGCATCCCACCTTGCTGCCAGATTCAAGAACCTTCTCCTTTCCACTTGCATCAACAACAACAAAACTCCCTGCATACAAAATGAACGCAAAAACAATGTCTTTACTTTTGGGTACATTTACTAGAATTTCTTGAAATTGGTTGAGTTTACAGGGAACAGAGTCAACAACAGACCTCGTTTTATCCACATGCTCTTTTGAAATTTAGCTGGAAACAGTGCCAAAGATTTTTCTCCTTGTCCATCCATGATCTTCAATGAGTAGAGCAGAATCAAAGGTAAGCAATAAGCACATTGTGCAGTACAAATTTAAATAATTTTCTTTACTACCACAACTTCAATCTAAGAATTATCCCAACCCAACCACATCCCTTTATGATTTTGAATGAAGTCCGAGGGCATAGGTGAACGAGCCAAGCCAACCCAATAAGCTTATAGCCACCCACTAGTGCTTTTTCATTAACCCTGGTAGTTTACTACGAAGCAGAAGCTGGATTTCAAACAAATATAGCTTGGAGGGTTAAAGACTGGAACTTTACTACAACCAAGTCATTTATTGAAGAAATATATTGAATTTGAACAGGGTTTTAGAAGGGTTTTTCTCTACTGGAAATAAAAATAAATAAATAAATAAATAAATAGGTTTAGCTGATTGAGTTGAGTGAACAGAAGAGCACCTCAATGAGATTGGAACCACGGAGAGAAAGCACTTGCATTATAGAGTGACCATCTTTGAGGGTCAAGCTGTCTTCCTCCACTGCCCTCTTCAGATTCTTCCTTCCCCCTTTCATCGAGATTGAAATTATTTTTGGGAATGTTTCTCAAACGCCGTCGTTCCAATCAAAAAACCTATATTTGGCGAGTTAAAGCCTCCAAGGCTGAAGAAAATAAGAAGAAAATTTAGATTGGAAGAGAGGAAAGGAGGCTTAGGGGGGTTGCCGCCGCTGAGGTGGTTGTGGTGGAGAGGTTGCAGAGAAGAAGATGAACAACAAGGAAACCTGCTTTTAATCAAACAATTAAGTGAGGGGACAGGTGTCAGAAGGATAAGGAGGGGACAGGGAGGACACATTTAAAATGGGCACAGGAGAATTTAACTCATATTTACCGCGCTAGAATAACTGAATTTGACAACTGGCTGTAACTCAAGGTAAAATAACGGGCCAATAAAAATGCTAGAAACTGAAGAAATTTACGGAAGACGTCGTTGACCTGCGACTGTGACGTTAGCCAAGATCTTGTCACAACAAGCACAGGAAAAGTCTAAAACAAATTTGCGCCTTGGCGACTCGCGACTCGCAACTCGCAACTCGCGCGTGAGTTCAGACCCGGGAGGAGAGAGACCGTGCCCGGCCCGGCTCTTGATTTCAAGCAGTTCACACAAACAGCGCAATTTTAAGGTTCAAATCCTTAAAATCTCTTTATTTGTTTCGATTATTTTCCACGGTTCATTTGAATTCGTACGTTGTTGCCTTTTGTTTTTCTACTTTTACTTAATTGTATACTTATTATATCATAGTCCCTCACATTGCTTTGCTCCAGTCCAGTGCACATCTTCTGATTATCAAGTTTTAAATTTCATTCTCTTGTATGACAATTCTGTGACTTTCCCAGTTACCATGTAAGTGCTTCTTATTATTCCCACGAAAGAGCCCTTCTTTTTTGTTTGTGAAGTTATGTTTCTTCTTTTCTTTCAGTTTCTTTCTGGGAAACCATTTGAGCCAAAATTATGATTACAACTGAATGCTAAGGAAAGCAAATATCTTGTTAGTTTTTTATTTTTTGGTGTTTAGAGTTAAAAATTATAATTGTGAATGTAAATCTGTGCGTGCTTCTATTACCATCTTAAACCTGAAGCTGCTCATTAATTTGCATTTTTGGAGTACATGACTATAGTGGGTGCCTTTGAATCCACAGTGTATCAATTGGGTTTTTTTGGTTAGAGTGATGGGTAGAAGGAAGCAAAGCCGGCCGAACCGATCCGGTGGGGTAATATTAAAGAGTCTCAGTACTGCTGATCAGGCAGAAGTTGCTGAAGATAAGCTTTCAACCGAGGAATCACGAAAGAATGAGCTGGATAAAGTTGAGAAACCATATTTTGTGGAAGTTGTTCGGTCTTGTTGGGTTTCGGATGAGCACCTTGATATTGCTGAAATTGTTTTAACAGATTTGAATTGGGGAGAAGAGTTTTCTGGTGATGGATTTGGTGAGGATTTTAATCAGGATAGTTACTCCTTAAGGTTTCGAGTGTGCAACATAAATGAGCATATCAGTCGTATAAAGTGTGGTGGTCATTGGCCTGTGTTATCCTCTGCTGATATATCTTTGGAATTCATTAAAAAATGTCCAACGGAGAATATGGAAAGGTTATCTGTGATTTTATCAGGGAGTTTTGATGGACCGGATGAAGGTATCTCTGGGCTTGTTCACTTGGCAAGTTTGAAGTTTATGACACTGAGGCCAGCTCGGTGGGTTGGGTTTGCGGATGATATGTCAACCATCAGGGTTAGGGTGGAGATACTTAAGAGTGCATTTGATGCTTGTGAGTCACTGCTGGACACTAATACTAGGCAACTCTGGAAAAAAAGTATGTTGAATGTCATGGCTTGGCTTCATCCAGAAGTAATGACTTCAGAGGCTAGGTACGGAGTCAGTAAATCAACAGAAATGGAAGCTGATTTGCATACTCAGACTGGAGAGGCTAATTCAGGACCTGGTAAACGTGCAAGGTTTGATGTTGCTGGGTTCTATGAAGCCATTAAACCATCAAAGTGAGTATCACCACTCTTCAATGTCATAGTCTATTTCCAACTTTAAAGTTTTATGTCTATTTATCATTGAGTTTAATCTCCATTGCATCTTGTGTACAGAGCAGATGAAATGCTTCAAGATGACATGCCGGATTTGCTTCCTGAATTGAAGCCATATCAGCGCCGTGCAGCTTACTGGATGGTACGGAGAGAGAAAGGAGATGCAGAAAGTCTGGCCGAAGAAGAGAAAAGTCAGTTCATATCACCTTTATGTTTGCCCTTGGAATTTCTTGATACAAGTTCAAAAATTTTCTATAACCCATTCAGGTACTGACTTTCTCACACATGTTGGTTTACCTTTGAAGCGAGTTCTTTCATTCTGGCATACTCTCTCTCTCTCTCTCTCTCTCTCTCCCCTCTCCCCTATCTAAAGCTTACTGCAAATTTGAAAATGTATTTCAGTGGAAGTGTTTCGTTGCATCCACAGAATTCGTCAGCTTACGTCTTTGGTGGTATTCTTGCAGGTAATCCCACTGCTCTACATTCTCTTGCATGTATCCATATGTTTTCTTGGAGACAGTCTGAAATTTGTTAGATTTTTCAGATATTGAATTTCAGTGTGGTCTGAAACCTGATCTTTATGTACCATTAGCTTTATTACTGTTAAATATTAAAATTAATTCTAATAACATGATGATCTGTGGTACTTACTGGTAGCATATAAATGTTTGAGTAATGCCTTATCAAACAATCAGAATCTGTCACTTTTACAGTCCAATCAATTTATCAAGGGAGCCAGTTTCACGCAAGTGCCTAGGTTTCTGAAATAGTATAATCATATAGCCCTGCCTGAACAAACACCTAGGCATGAAACATATACCACAAATTAACGGAAGTTTTCCATCTACCAGTTCCTAAAATTTCTTTCACTACATATTTAGGGAAGTTCTCTATCAACTAGTACCTTTGATTTTTCAAAAAATTTGTGGGTGTGGTTCATTGAGGGAATGATAGTAATGGAAGAAATATGCTTACTAATGTTTTATCTTTTTTCAGCATTATATTTCTCATTCTGAAGGAAAGACTGGTCTTGCACTAATTGCTTTGTCTGAAATTTGTCTTTTATGACTATCACAGATGAGATGGGCATGGGGAAAACTGTTGAGCTTCTTGCTTGCATATTTGCTCATCGGAAGTCAGCAGATGAAGACAACATGATTGCTGATTCTGAATCTCAAGCAACCGAGGATCTGAAAGTCAATCTTAAAAGATTAAAAAGGGAGCGAGTTGAATGTATATGTGGAGCTGTGAGTGAAAATAGGTCATACAAAGGACTGTGGGTACAGTGTGACGTATGTGATGCGTGGCAACATGCAGACTGTGTGGGTTATTCAGAGGCCTCTAATGGAAAAGAATGTGGAAAGAGTTCAGTGTTTAATAAGTACATAAGAAAGAAGAATACAGCTACAATAGTTGTGAGAGATGGGAAATATATTTGCCAGCTATGCTCAGAGCTGATAAATGCTACTAACTCTCCAATTGCTACTGGTGCCACTATTATAATTTGTCCGGCTCCTATATTGCCCCAGTGGCATGCTGAAATTATGCGGTATATTTTATTTTTTAACTATCTTGCATTTGCAAATCTCAGTACTCTTAAAGATTGGATTAAAGTCTACTTTTATGTAAAGTTGGTTTCACTAAACTGTAATTTATCCCAAAAGAATAAGGCTGTTAAACTGTATAAAAACTTGGTAAGTTCCTTCAATTTCTTTGGATTCATTAAGCTATAACACTGATTGCATTCATTAAGGGATGTACTGGCATGTGGGCTAACCTAAGCATGTGGTAAGATATCTTTGGACTCCAGTAGCTTTAGCAAGATAATTATCATCTTTGTACCAGATTTAAGTAGAAAAGATTAGCAAATTATTAGCCTTATCTAGGGATTCATTGTCATCTGCCAAAGATCACGACGTTTACTATTTAATTTTGTCTTCTTGAACTTTTAGTACTTTATTGGCTGCTACAGTCACATATAGTTAGTTTTAACTGCTTGTAAGACACTTACATGCAGTCGATATTCATGTGTATGCATGTAGGTGGTACCTACTGGCATTCATCTGCGCTTATTTTACATGTTCTGTATACGGATGAATTGCTCATAGTTCTATTGAGTGAAGGTTTCAAAACTACTTAGACAATTCATTTTTGGTAAATCAATTCAATTTTGATTGTATTTATTGCTTATGATCATCTTGAGATGTTGTTTCTGAATTATTTATCTCCAAATGATGGATGTGATACCTACTGACTTCTTTAATTGTACCAGTCATACTCGTTCAGGTTCCTTAAAAACTTGTATCTATGAAGGTGTGAGGGGGACTTCTTTTTCAAACACATCTGTAATTAATATTAACGAACTCATCAGTGCTGACATTGTATTAACAACATATGATGTGCTTAAAGAGGACCTGTCACACGACTCTGATAGGCATGAAGGTGATCGACGCCTCATGAGATTCCAAAAGAGGTTCCTTCAAAACTTGTGACGTTCTTTTTTTTTCTTTTTTCTTTGCTGAAAATTGCCTACACAATTTGAACTGATTCTTCATTGAATTGGATAATATTTTGCCTGTTTACCTATAAGGGTGTTGCATAACATAGATCTTGCCCCTTATGTTAGGATGAGTTGTTTGGAATGCTTTATAATCAGTTTAGAAATAATTTCTTGAGTTTTCAGACACATCTTCTATTAATTGCTGCTCCTTCGTCATGATTTCTTTAAGCAAATGTACATGAATGCCATCATGGTATTGTAAAAGAGCTATGTTCAAGCTGTTAAGAATTTGCTTTGTTTTCTTGGTTTCTTTCTCCTTTTTATTAGGTTTTACATCCTTCAATTCTTTGCCTTAGAACATCGGGTTGATTTAGATGAGAATTCTCTTGGACCTGAATTTTCAAGATGATGACCAGCCATTTTGTTTTAGATACCCTGTTGTTCCAACTATTCTGACCAGAATATTCTGGTGGAGAATTTGTTTGGATGAGGCTCAAATGGTGGAGAGTAATGCTGGTGCTGCCACAGAAATGGCTATGCGGTTGTACGCTAAGCACCGTTGGTGCATTACAGGGACTCCTATACAACGCAAGCTTGATGACTTATATGGACTTCTACGATTTCTTAAAGCATGCCCTTTCAATGCTTCTAGGTGGTGGGTTGAAGTTATACGAGATCCATATGAGGTATGAATTTGGTGCATCCTTTGATGTTTCAACTCCAAATTCTTTCTAAAACTGGAGGCCGCTTTCCCATGGCAAAAGTTTAAAGATGCCAGAAAACTGGAACCATTAAGATAAAATCTATACCTTGAGTGTATTTTAGCAAAATTGACACTTCGATCCAAAAAAAATGCGCCCATTTATCACGAGTACATCCTTATATAACCTTTTCCACATTTAGGGTTAGTGTTTTCTCATGATTTTTCCAAAGATATCCTTCTGGCTTTCTCCTGTTAATTTTTGTGAGTCCTCATTGAGTTCGAAATTTGTGTATCAGACAACTTTCTTAATTATTTTTCTTACCTTTTCAGAGGAGAGATGCAGGGGCTATGGAATTTACACATAAATTCTTCAAGAAAATCATGTGGCGATCTTCGAAAGCGCATGTAGCAGATGAGTTGCAGCTTCCTCCTCAGGAGGAGTGCCTTTCTTGGCTCACTTTATCCCCAACAGAAGAGCACTTTTACCAAAGGCAACATGAAACTTGTGTGACTTATGCCCGAGAAGTCATTGAAAGTTTGAAAGATGATATTCTGAAAAGAAAAGTCAGAGGTTGTTAATGGTTGTTTTACAACTTCATTTAAGAGTCATTCTATAAGTGTAATAAAAATTCAGAAGTGGGGACGCAATTTTTAGGTCTGACAATTTTTCATGCTTGCTGTTCCCAGGCTGTTCAGCATCTAATGATTCATCAGATCCTTTCCTCACGCATGCAGAGGCGGGAAAGCTGCTGAACACACTCTTGAAGCTTCGCCAGGCCTGCTGCCACCCTCAAGTAGGGAGCTCTGGGCTTCGCTCTCTACAACAGTACCCCATGACTATGGAGGAAATATTAATGGTGCGTATCTGTTACATTTTTAAAACTTTTTGTGAGCGGTTCTTTTTGTTTTAAGGGATCTTGTTCTGTAGGTTCTTGTAGGTAAAACAAAGATGGAAGGAGAAGAAGCGCTCAGGGGATTAGTTGTTGCTCTCAATGGGCTTGCTGGGGTAGCTGTAATTGAGCAAAATTTCACTCAAGCTCTATCACTGTACAAGGAAGCATTGGCTTTAGCTGAAGAGCACTCTGAGGATTTCCGCCTGGACCCGTTGTTGAATATTCACATTTATCATAATCTTGCTGAAATACTTCCATTGGCAACAAACTGTTGCCCCTCAAAGGAACAGTTTCCAGGTAGCTCTACGGAAATGGCCTCCAAGATACATGGCATTGAAAAGTGTGATCAACATGTAGTGAAGAGGCGAAAACTGAGTGCGAAAGACAACTTTGCCATTGGTTCTGGTAACTTACTTGAAGGCACATCTGAATTATCAGATAATGAACAAAAGTACTTGTCTGCGTTCAGTGATGTATCTTTGAGAACAGCCTGTGACAATATTAAACAGAAGTACTTGTCTGCGTTCAGCTCAAAGCTATCCACAGCTCAACAAGAGTTTAAGAAGTCTTACACACAGGTATATTTCCTCCCTGCTTTTGTGTAGCCCTTTAGGATCCTGTATATATAAATTCTAGAAAAGAACACACTGCATCTTACAATCTAGGACATGCTATGCTAAATAATCAATGTTAGTCTTGGTTTCCCATCTTTTTTTTTTAGGGGTTTGAGCAGATTTAAGCAGGCTAAATAATTTTATGAATCCTTTTCCCTGTATATTTTATTTTTCTATCATTGCTATATTTTCTTTGTATGTTTTAACATTTAGATAAACTCTTTTTGAAGGTTTGTAATGCAATTAGTGAAAGAAAAGATCTAAGTGCAGTTTGGTGGTTGGAAGCCCTTCTTCATTCTGAAAAGAGCAAAGGCTTCTCTAGTGAGTTGACCAGAAAGATTGAAGAGGCCCTCATAGGAACTCTAAACAATTCGAAGTCATCGAGGATTGCGTCCCGGTCAGTAATCATATGGGTTCCCCATATCACTTCTTCTGCATGGCATAAATTTTACCTTTTGCATTTTTCATTTCTTTAGTAGTACCTTGTAGTTGCTGATTAAGATATATTTTGCATCTCAAGAAAACTACGAACAACTACTCATGTTGCCTTATTCTAAATTAGTTCTGATGAACTCCTGCATATACTTTGAGGGAAAGACTATAAAGTCATATGGACATAACAATCTCACATTTGTTATAAGTTCATGTAGATAATCACATATTATGGTAGTTTAGTCGTTATATGACTCAAATATCCACTGAAATTTCATATCCCGTGATGATAGTGTTGGATTGTATATCTATGTAGTGCACAGTCACCTTGTTATCATCATTTCTTAAGTGATCCAGGTCTGACCATCGACTGAATGATAACAAAACAGAGAATATTACAATGATTGGTTTCATAGAAACACTGTGCGACCACCATCTAATATATTAGTGTAAAGTGAGAATCGCATAATTTTTCTGAATGTATTGAAGAAATTTATGTTTTCCTGATCCAAATGTGGGTTGCCAAATTTTTTATTAAAGCCATAACTTACTGGAGGCAGAAGTTCTTCTGTATTAGAAGTGCTTAAGGTTTGAATATGATGTTGGAATTTTGATTGCAATGTTTAAGGCTGTCAATGGCTAGCCAATTTTTGACGCTACAGTGATGCATCATGTATGCATCCTTTTTACTCTAATACATAACTATATTCAGCACTAGCTAAACATTAGAATTCCTTTGAACTCTTAATTAGTAAGGTGCATATTGTCATTTATTCAGGAGCTCATCTAATTGGCATTTCTTGTTGAAGAAAGATTATGACCTTCTAGTAAACATAATCTATGTTGTCTATGTTGTGTGGATGCTGGTTAACTTTTTGTCCCTTTCATATAGTTTCCAAAGTATAAGTGGTCTGAAGTATCATATACAGACTGGTTTGGACCAATTAGAAGCATCTAGGAAGCTGTTACTTGATCGACTCTTAGAAATTGATCAGACGATGGAAAAGCCAAAGGAGGAGGATATTCAAAGCGTGAGATACTGTCGAAATTGCAAGGCTTATGATGATGGTCCCCTGTGTGTGCTCTGTGAAGTAGATGAGTTGTTTCAGGTTTGTTACTTGTCTTTTCATGTCCTTGTTGATTTCTAGTATGATTTAAATATGTTGGACAGTATTTACGATTTCTGATTTCTTTACCAGGGTTATGAAGCAAGGCTCTTTCGTAGTGAAAAAATATGCGGGGGGATGGCTACATCAGCTGAAGAGGCTGTGGATTTGCAGAAGAAGAACTCTGCACTTAATCGTTTTTATCAGAATCTGTCGCAGCCAAATAAAGATTTAACGTCACCCTGTTATAAAGAATCGAAGAAGAGAGAGAGAGATGTTGGAAAAGTTGTGGTCAGTTATTTTATCTCGCTCTACTACTTTTGTTCATTCTTAAAGGGTGCTAAAATGCATCCGTTTTTTGTTTATAGTTGAAATGATACTGGTTGGACTGAAATTTCTTCCTTTGGTTTTACTTCAGTCTCTATTTTGACTAGCTCAAAAAGTATTATTTGTGGGCTTTGCTCATAATACAGTGCAACTCTTAAATTCCCTTATCATCTAAAAACTTTTGAAGGCATATTTGTTCCCACCTCTGCTTCTGCTTGTGATCTATAAAATAATGTCCTAATTTAATTTTTCACATAATGAAGATGCCTAGTTAACTTGAATTTGTCATATCCAATACATGTAAGATTAACTTAAGTTATGGACATTATTTTTTAATCACTGTCCAGGACCACTGACAATTGTGTTTTATACTATTTGCTCCAAAGTGCAAAAAAACCTTCAGTATCTTTGTTTTGGTTTGATCAATATACTTTGGGAATATGCTTGTTTTTTCTTAAGCATCAGATGATATGTATATACTTTGTTTTGGTTTGATAGGTTTCAAAATCTCCATCTGAATTAGAGGTCGTTCTTGGAGTTATAAAAAGCCATTGCAAGGCCCAAATAGGGAGGGAAGGTATATCCGAAGCCACCAAACACCTACAGATTCTTGAGGTATGTCCTGATTTATAGTATTCTTTCAGCTCACAACTATTTAACTGCCAGTTCACAACTATTTGACTGCAAGTCTGTAACTAAGCACTCCTGTAGTTGATAGAAGGAAGAGAACCTACTCATACTAGATTATATTTTCTTCTTCGGAATGCTAATTATCCCTTTAGATCTTTCTAAGAGCCTTCAGCTAATAGTATTGCAAGCAAGCTTTGATAAAACTGATCTTTTTTATTTATTACCTGGTTAAGGGCATGCGCAAGGAGTATGGCCATGCGAGATCGTTGGCAATAGCCCAAGCCCAAATTCTACAAGCTTATGATGAAATTAATATGGCAACCTCAAGATTGCGCCTGGCAGAAAATGAGAATGATAAATCTCTTGATGCTTTAAGTGAACATGACTTACCTTCAGCTAACGTCCTATACACTAGCGACAAGTTCACATCCTTGCAGCAGTTGTCTTGCATAAAAGGGAAACTTCGCTATTTAAAGGTACAAACACAAATCCATTTTTAACCATTCATGAATTACCTCTGTAGGTACTAACTCTATTTTATTGTTCCTAGGGTCTGGTACAAGCTAAACAGAAGACGCCATTGGAAAGTCCAAATCATTCCTCAGTAGCTGAAGAGGCAGCCACCATGTCAACTTCTACCGAACAGAAAAATGAATGCATACTTACTGGTGATAAAGAAGCATGCCCAGTTTGTCAAGAAACATTAACCATTCGAAAGATGGTTTTTCCATGTGGGCATGTTACATGCTGTAAATGTGAGTGTTCACCATACCCTCTCCACAATATGATTTTTGTTTCTACTTTGATCAATCATCTCCACAATACGATCATGCCTCAATAAATAGGACAATATACCTGGATCACTTCAAAAAGATTCTTCACATGCAAATATGAAGTATGGCCTAAAAAGGCCAAGAATGCAAGTCTGTATATCTGAAAATGTCACACCAATGTCTGGTTGAACAAAAATTTCATTCAGTAGAGTGAATGTATTTTTCCCTGAACCCTTATGTGATTCATAAGTGCCAATCATCATGTATCTATGTCTACATCCTGCTAATTGCGTTTTGTCCTTTTATTATTATTTATTGGAGTCTCTTGACTATTATGCTTTATGTTCTCTAAAACAATTTTAAAAATCATCAAAATTCAAGTTCACATCTTCTCCTGCTAGGTTTATTTGCAATTACGGAGTGGAGATTACTTAATGATAAGAAGGTTCAAGATAAGTGGGTAAAATGCCCAACGTGTCGACAACATACTGATGTTGGAAATATTGCTTATGCTGATGATGGACAAAGTGAATCTTCTCGTTCTTCTATGCTTCATGCAACCCAAAGTCGTGAAAAGGGTGAAGCATCTATTACAGTTAAAGGTTCATATGGTACCAAGGTACTCCTCCTACTACAGCACTGCCTTGTATAGCATAAATAATTTTCATGGCATGAAATTTGAGGCAATTTTATTATTCATGTGCTTCGTCAATTCGTCAACGATGAAAACCAATGAAAGCTGCCTGTGTAATTCTATAATGGATATTTCAGTTTCAACCTCTTTTCATTCAAGCACCATGATTTACTGATTGTATTGCATGGGGATTCAAGTTTCAATCGCTAGAGTGGTTACCAGTTACCAGTTACCGCATCATGTGATCATGTGCAGCAGACTTTAAATTAATACTTTAATAGTTCATCCTGCTCATTTGAATTTGGAATTTGATGCTATTAATGTGTCCTTAATTTTTCAGTCTAGCATAGTTGCCTGACCCGAAAACATATATATATATATATATATATATGTCTAGCATTTTCTTCCCTGGAGAAAAGAATTTCCCTTGCCATTTTATTACTATAATTTGGGTCAGCACGTTTGGATTAATGTTCATTTGTGGGGACATTGCGAAGATTGAAGCAGTCACGAGAAGAATCCTCTGGATAAAGACTACAGATCCAGAGGCTAAAGTCCTTGTTTTCTCAAGCTGGCATGATGTCCTTAATGTATTGGAGCATGCCTTCACTGCTAATGGCATTACCCATATTCGGATGAAAGGAGGAAGGTAAGAGGATCTGTCAAACAGCTTGTTGGGGACTTGAATCATGAATGAACTTGGACTTTCTTGTCTTCATTTTTCTTGATAATCTGGCTCTGTAAGTGCAGGAAATCACAAGTTTCCATTAGCGAATTCAAAGGAGAAAAGAGAAGCACGAAAGGAAATCACAAGATGCATGGCCAGGAACCAGACGTAAGACCTGTTCAAGTATTACTGCTCTTAATTCAACATGGAGCTAACGGCCTCAATCTTCTAGAGGCGAAGCATGTTATTCTTGTTGAGCCACTTCTCAATCCAGCAGTAGAAGCACAAGCAATCAGCCGGGTACACCGAATCGGACAGAAAAATAGGACCATAGCTCATCGTTTCATAGTATGTGTCTCTCTTTCTGATTCTTTAAATAAGGGAACTTTGCGTGCAACAATACACGTATGTAATCTCTCATGTTATTTTTGTGGTGTTAGGTTAAAGGCACGGTTGAAGAGAGTATATATAAACTCAATCAGAGCAAGAACACCACTGCCTTCATTAACGGGAACACAAAGAATCAAGATGAACCTTTTTTGACATTAAAAGACATTGAATCCTTATTTGCAACAGCGCCACCCGCTGTACCAGAAGCTGATGAAAAGCCAACTGAGGGTTCCGATGAAAAGGAAACTGAGAGTCTAAGGCATTTGCCTCCTTCTGTGGCTGCTGCTATAGCAGCTGAAAAGAGACAGGAGCAGCATGCATGTTCTTCATGAGGGCTCTCACCAATTTATTCCATTCATCAAAAGCAGGAAGAGAAAAAAGGCATTTTGTTAGGCGTTCTAACCATCTTTCTGTTTAGAATTTTATATTCAAAACTATTATGCTCATGTATATATGGGATTTTTTCATTAATGTTGCTGTAAATTTGTTAGATGTGTGATGTTAATCTTAGTGTAAATTTGTTAGATCTCTCTCTCTCTCTCTCTCTCTCTCTCTCTCTCTCTCCTCTATATATATATATATGTGTGTGTGTGTGTGTGTGTGTGTGTGTGTTGTGTAAAAAGCACCTCTGTTTCGTGGGTTTCAGGTTATTCAGCTAAAGTAGAATCCTTTTCGGTTACAAATTGATTTGTCAACTCGAGACCCAAAAAGTATTATTGGGTTTATCCACATCATCTTCATATTCTTCAAGGAACTGTGACACATTTGAAAATACAAAACTTTGAATTGTCTGTACTTTGAATGTTTCGTTCCTCTTCACAAGTTGAACAAGATTTGCAATCAAACCTACCTATTCTGTATGAGTGTGAAGCACTCGAACGTAACGCATTTGAATTTGGGGATGGGAGAACAAATGGCGGCCACAAAGCCGTGGCCTTCTTTGACAAGCAAAAGGACTCAGAACTTCTGACGTGGGCCATGACCCTTTGAAAAGCGTGCCTCTTGTTTAAAAGAAAGCACCACCGAACTCTCTGTAAGCATCATCCTAATTCCAAACGATCCTATGTCCACCATGTCACACGTGCCTCCCCCTACTTGTCACGTGTCCGCTACGGACACGTGGAGCAACATAAACTACATCAACCTCTCCCCACTCTGACCTCTATATATTCAAGTCCAAGCACCCCAATCTCATAAACCAAACATCCAAACTAGACTAGGGTAACGATGGAGCTCTCTCTCTGTCACACAAAAACTCACAACTTTTGCTCTTCTATCCCCATACACAAAACCAGAGACCCTTCAACTCTCAACCCTTCTTGGGGATTGAGACTTAGGCCATGGCAGAATCATGGGTTAAGCTTAATGCAGCAAAGATTGGATCACAAGAAATCAACATCAGCAGTGGTGGTTCGATGTGCAGACACCGGTTGTTCGTCGGGGCCGGTGAGCGAGATAGAAGGAGAGCTGGAGGCGGAGATTCGACCAGAAGACGGAGCAGAGGAGTGGCTGAGAGTAGGGAGGCTGAGAGAAAAGTGTGGAGACAGAGGAATGGTGGAGCTGTTGGAATGTTTGGAACGTGAAGCCATCATGGGAGAAGATGAAGGCAAGGAACCCAATGACTACAACAGAAGGGCTCAGATCTTTTATAAGAGTTCCAGAGTTTTCCAGGCTCTCAAGGAACGTAACCAGTCTTGATATTCATGTCCAATCTTCATTACAATGCAACGATTGTATTGATAAATTGTTATTTAAGGAATAAAAAATGTTGTCTCTTCTTGCGGCATATTTCAATTTCAAGCAATATTGTTCACATAAAGTTGTAAAAATAGGCACATTCATTGTTTAAAACTTACCAATTTTCTAAGCTTGAGGTGATTTCTGTGCAAGTTTCTTGGAGCTCCAAAGAAATAACACATTAACACAGCAATATGAATTTTCACCAAAAGAAGGAATTACCAATAGACTGAAATAAACGCGTCAATTCAATTAATAAAAAGCAGTGCTCCAAACAAATTAGGCCTAACAACTCTAAAAGAAGAAAACAATATTAAAAAAATTCTACGTACTACAATACTCAAATGGGAATGATCCCATATGGTCTGACTGGCCTAGAGCGAGCACAACCACCGTAAAACTGCTTCACTAAAATGTGGCCACAATTCCTACAAGACTCACTAACAGAACTTCCAACGGTTGTTGCAGTTTACACATGTTACATATGTTGTCATAGGTTCATCGGCACTCCTGGTCTGCATTTGGTAATAGGTGGTCTTCCTGTGCCCGCATCGACCGCATTTGAATTGATCGGTTGTAGCTTTTGGCGCACCTCCACGCTCACACTCAAACAAGGCTTTTTGTTCAAGCTTTTTGTTCTCCTCCTGCCTCTGATCGCTTGCCATTTCCGCCGTTGACATGTCCACCAGCCTCTCTGCCTCGATGTCTCCGAGCAGAACCTTTCTACGGAAATCTGGGTTCTTTTGGTCCTTGAGGTTGAAGATTAAAGATCGATACTTTGCCTTCTGGGCACCAGTGGAACCACCCCAGTGCTCAAAGAGCACAGATTCCACAGTCACAGCAACTCTAATAGGATCAGATGCATTCACATAATCTGCAAATCTTTCGTCAGCCTCCTGAGAAACCTTGGACAAAGCCTCGTGCAGCATTCCCCTTACTCTGTCCCGTGCTGTATCATTAGACTTGATCATAGATGTTAACTTTGGGGGAGCAGAGGAGTTCAGTGCCGGTTTCTTCACTTCTTTGGCTATCTTTTCAACCTTAACACTCTCTGCTGAAGCGGCTTTCTCTGTCTTGTCAGCATTAGCATTTTGAACCTTTCTCTCTGTCTTGACAGTTTCAGAACTATAAGCTTTGTCAGAGCTTGGTTTAACACCTCGATCAACCTTCTTAATCTCAACAGGTTCCGCCTTTGAAACCTTCTCTACCTTCACAGCAGATGTCTTCTGAACCTTCTCAGCCCTGGGACTCTCCGCACTTGGAGACGCACGTTTTAGAGAGTCTATTCTTTCCAAGTTGCCGTTTTTCGCATCTTTGTTTGCTTCCTTGATAACAATCCCTTTCCATGTATCAATCAGGGCAGAAGAAAATGTCTGGATTTTCTTTCTGGGATGTTTTGTGAGATGTCGAAGACGCTTTCCAACCTGGAAAATTGCAATCAAAGTTCAGACCAAACCTCAAATCTTATTTAGCAGGTAAGCAAATCATACGAATTGCAGTACAGTGAATTCAACACGAATTTTTAAACCAAGCAACAACTCAAAAGCATTAGGCATTGCAGCAGTATTAACCACTAAACATACAACCCCTATGCGGATGTGTGTATACGAATACCCATAGATTTTGGGCCCTAATTGGATCAAAGACCTAAAAACCAAACAGAAAATTGTCTGGGGCAGGCAATAGCCGTGACATCTTGATAGAGAACTTCAATTTATGCTGCTAATATCTAGCCGTGACATCTTGTTGTGTTTTGTTGGCGCTGTTTAGGCGTTTTGTTAATGAACGAAAGAAGTTAAACCAAGGAATTAGAAGCAAATGTGATGTTTTAAATCCGGAAATTGCAGCTTGGTTTCTTATGGGAGTTAAAATTCTGAATGATACAGTTCAAATTGTTTCAGTCCACCAAGTTTCTTCTATAAAAAAAAATTTTAATATTATATAAATTTAAAAATAAAAATTAAAAAAATTAAAAAAAAACTTTCAAAACAAAATTTGATTCCGATAATTAAAAGCCTTTTGATGAACCAAAGAGAGCACAATTATTTAGAAATTGAAACATGCTGCAAACCTATAAACGCCAAAACAAGGATAACAGAGGAAGAAATTAATCAATTAATTAAAAATAAAAAGAAAAAAAAACATACTTGGGTTGAGATGAGGAGTTGATAAGTGACGGGAAAATTCTTGAGCTGCTCCAAGGCATCAAGGCATTGGCTTTCCTCGGCTCCTCCGTCACAAGACGTGGCGGCGTCCGCCGATTTCTTCACCGCTTCGAACAACTCCAACAGCTCCTTCTCCATCTTCCCCAATTCCCCCTTATTTTTTCTCTCTTCAATCCCGTAAAAATTGAGCTCAAAGATCAATACTTTGATCACTTATTCAACCAAAAACAAAAACCCAACAGCAATTAAATCGAATTGAAAGGAAGAATTGGAAAACCTAGATAGAGAGAGAGAGATCGTTGTGATGAAAAAACGAGAGAGAGAGAGACTCTGTGACAGTCCGTCCTCTCTTTTATTTTGCTGCCGATAAAATTTCCTGTTCTGTTCAGGAGAGACGCGAAAAAGACGTTAACACTATTTAAATCTCTCGGAGAGCGAAGATCGGACGGCTGATGTGAGGACACGTGTGATTGATGATAGATAGCATCACAGAGGACCTTTTTACTGGTCACAAAGACTCAGTTTCTTAGATTTAGGGTTCGGTTTGGTTGTTTGGTTCTGTTTTTGGTACCCTTTTTTTTACTTTTCATAATCGAGTTTGGCGCGTCAACTTACGCGCCTCCTCTTTTATTCTACCTACCTACCTACCTACCTAGCTAATATTGGAAAAGAATTTAGAATTGTTACCAAAAAAAAAAAAAAAGAATTTGGAATAATAGAATCCACACATTTGAGTTCGGTGTGTACTGTGTACTTTGCGGCTTTTTCCCTTTTCCTTTTTATTTTATCCTTATTTCTTTTATTTTTAATAACTTTTTTATTTAAATAAATTATAAAAGAACTTTACTTTTGCTTTCTCGGTTGGTGGGCTTCCAATTTGGGAGCGAGGACAAATGGCGTTTCTTATGATGTATATGGGCTTGGTCTCCAAGCTACGGCAATGACCCAAACACAAAAACATTGGTATTTTGGGCATTAAAGTTATCTCTGCACCCGAGGTCTTGTGTCCAAAATCCCTCTCCCCCAATATCGTCTGTATGTATGTATGTAGCGGGAAAGAAACCAAAGCAAATCAACAAAGCTTTCCTGTTACGGAGAAGGGCTCATAGCTAATATTGTGGGCTTGTTCGTCTTATAGAATTCCATATGTTTAAACAGAAAGCAGAGAGTAAAATTGCAAGAATGGCATAAACAAGAACCAGGAATGTGCAAAGAAAGGGTTTGCATGTAATTAACAATTAAATTAAGTACGAAACTACACGATTATTATTCGCCTAAACTCTATCCATTGTAGTCTCATCAAAACAACATTTCCCATATGGTCATCAGTCTCATCAAACAGAGTTTTACCAGAATGTTCAATTCCATTTTCACTTGTCTTCAGGCTCCGGCTTCTCCAAAAAGGTCTTCCTCAGCCAATCAAATGGCTGCAAAAATTCATAGAATAACAAAATATTAGACAAATACGATTTAACTAATGATTTAAGAAGGTAGAGTTGCAGTGATGTTCATGTACACATGGATTCTGTGAAAGTGCAAAACATCACCGGAGCTTATAAACACTCCATCATGACCTGCTCCTGTAATCTCTAAGTCAGTCAGAGGAGTTTTTAATATCAAAAACCTCAAACATTATCCACATAAATCCCTCCAAAGATCTCCGGCAATGAAGCACGAGTGCATGTGCGTGCGAGCGTGAAGCTATCGATTGGTGGAAAAATTAAAGAAAATTGGCAAGGAGAACAATCGAAATGGATGCTTGCACATCAAAATTTAAGATGATTTCATCTAAAGAAAGCTGACATATCAAAAGTCTAATTTTGATAGCCCAAGCACAGCTGCTGAGCAAGTTGCATTTCATCTACAACAAGAACAGCGACCCCCCGGACCCGGATCCATTTGACATGACTAAAATTATGTGCTGATAGTTTTAATTATTTTCGTTTCTTCCTAAAATTATAGGTTGCCCTTTCATACGTAGCAAATGAAAACAAGTGTCTAACTGTGCTACCAGATATGTCTGAAGAGGAAAACAATTTCTCATCTGTCCAAAATTATCAGAAAATCCACAAAAGGTTTCAGCAAAAAGAAAACTACTCAATCAGAAAACACATGCATCAGAGCTTGATCCCATTGAATCGAGATTTAACCAAAAATTCTAGCAAAAATAATTTGCAATCACAGAAACACTGTCAAATCAATAGTTGAATTAATTCGTCTTCATGCAAATCCTCTGAAAAAGGAAAGCCTTTTTGACATGCTTTGATTATATTTTACACACAAAGAATGATGATTTATATTCAAAAAAAGAAGAACATATTAGGCGCGATCTAATAGAGGCCATGGACAATCAAAGGAGAAGAAGAAACGAAAGAGAGGGATTGATTGACCTGGACGAGCCAAAGAGCACCGGTGACGGCAGCGATACCCCACCCGGCAGCGGCTTGGAGATCAGTGGTATGGGGACGATGCCTTGACTTCATGAACCTGAAAGCAGTCAATTCACCCGCCATTACTCTCCTCTGATTTTTGAGTCGTCCTCACTTCTCACTCCTCAATCCTCAATTCTCAGCCCTAACCCTAAAATCACCCAATTAATGCTCGAATCTTTGTTCCTCAGTTCGCACAATCTGCCAAATCAATGGTGGGTTTCGTGTGTAAATAATAAATTCTGCGTTCGCTGTAAGAGTCATTCATCTGCGGCCGTCGACTATTCTCATCGTTGATTATCTGCCGTTGGATTATTCTCATTTCATGGGACCCTGCTAATCGCTAGCCTAGTAAATAGTATAAACGTATAATATTTTCTTTATTTTCCATTATCAGGTAAAATTATTTATTTTCTTTTTGTTCCTTTTTTTCCCAATTTTTAGGAATTAATTTGACCTTGTAAAATTCTGTTTGAAGGCGTTACGCAAACTGAAAAACAGAGAGCTTAATGTGGAGAATTGCATTGCAACACTTCAAATGCAGGCTAAGCCTGAGCCGAAACAAAACACAAAGTGTTTTCAAGGCCTGACCGTTATCATTCAACATTTCCATAAAATGTATCCCTAGTCAAAAACACTCAAGAAGATATAGAACTAGAACTCATATTTTCAAAACATTTCCCTATTTAAATTGAATTTGAGAGTTGAGTACTGCTCTGCTTGACACTATCCGGTTTACGACCCTTGTCTGGGCCGCCGATTACCCCCCATGTCTCAAATTGCCTTTGTCGGGCTCTTGCCCTCTCCTTCTCTTCATCAGATTTTGACGAGTAACAGTATGGACAAGAAACTCCATATTCCCACTGAGGAGACTCCATATCTGCATCACTAACTGGTTGCTTACAACCATAGCATAACTTGTGAGTTCCCTGTGCTAACCCATGCTCAACTGATACCCTCTTGTCAAAGACAAAGCACTCTCCCTCCCACAGGCTCTCTGTCCCTGGAACTTCCTCAAGATACTTCAGAATTCCACCTTCTAGATGATAAACCTGAGAAAGGTGGATATAAAATCAAATAATCAGCAACACAGTTTTTAACCTCCACAAACCAGTTCGTGCCCAGAAATAATCTTGACACTCTAGATTGAGACCAAAATTTGTAGCACAAAATTCACCTCTTCGAAACCTTTGCTAAGGAGAAAACTTGAAGCTTTCTCGCATCTAATGCCCCCAGTACAGTACATGGCAACTCGCTGAGGTGTTTTTGGTTTTGAGATCTCTAGCTGGTTTTCAGTGCTTCCATTTGCACCATAGACTTCCACTTCTGAATGCCCATTCTCAGGTTCAGAAGGTTGAAACTCATCCTCTACCCAAGAGGGGAACTCCCGGAATGCTCTAGTACGAGGATCAACTGCTCCCTTGAACTTCCCTATTCTAGTTTCATAATTATTGCGCACATCAATAACTACCTGGATAAGTTCGTGTGTCAGAATTGAGGCAGTGCAGGTCAACCCATATCTCAGTGCATTCATTTATTTCTACATAGTACATACTACATGATAATATCATCAGCGGCAATTCATTCATGCGAAGTGAATATAATAATAAAACAAACACTACATGTGAAAATGTAGACAATTCTGCCATGTAAAAATTTGTACATTTAAAGTGTTACATTTTGATATTGATGCTAATTTTTTAAAACAAACTATGATGATATTCCAGCATTTATCAAAACTTTATAAAAATACTGTAAATTCTTGGGGTAAAATCATGATTTTGTTAGAATCAAAACCAAGTCATCAAGGTCAACTTTTCCAATGTACTTGGTAAAGCTGGACAATATACTGCTAAGTCTATACAGACTATACTCAAAATACTGAACTCAAAAGCAATAAGACCATTATACATTCTGCATATCAAAGAAATTTGATTACAGCTCACCCGCAAAACGAAGAAACCAATATAATGAAGAAAGTACTCACTGTATCTGGATCACTAATCAATGCATTCCAATCCCTTGGACTCACATACTTTCCAACCTTCTCAATTGGCGATACAGCCGGCATTCCAAGACTAACAATCTGCTTAAACATGTGCGAGAAGAAAATTAATAGTTAGAACCACCTCACAAATGAGAACAACAAAATGTACCCCACAAGTTCAAAATAAAGTTTGTAATATTCCATAACCCATACCTCCTTCTTCAACTTGACCCTCACATGATCCCATCTGAAGGGTGCATCTTCCCCTGCTGCCAGAGGAGAACTGCTAGTGTGTCCATGATGGATTGCTTCCTCCTCGGGGCTCACAGGTGATTCCACTCTTCGTAGTCCCTTGAGGCGGTCATCACTTTGAATGAACGCAAGAACTTTCTCCACTGATTCTCGGGTCCCACATATGCTGCCGTTGATGCCTTCTGGTGCAAGTATGATACCACCTGAAACACGCTGGACATGATCAGCTTGGTGAGGTACGGACTAGACAGTACATAAGCTCTGGATGAAAGAGTAAACAGAATCAAATAATAAGACATGGTGATAAAAGGTCCTGGATATTCGAAGCCATAAAAAAATGAAAATGCAATTATGATGCAGGCTTTTGAGCATTGCTAAGCACCACATTAAGATTTCCAACAATAAATTGATAACAGAATGTCACAAACCGGACTTTAACATATGCTAATTAGCCCAAACAAATTAAGTTCGAAATTTGCTAAGCTCACTCAAACTAACCCAACAATGCCTACAGACTTAAAATTACTTCCACTAAAGAAAAGTACCACATAAATTTAAAAATTCATGGAATTCAACCAATAACAAACTAAACAAGTAAAGAAATAAAGAAATGTAGATTAAGAAGGTGTACCAGTTCCTCGCAGAGCAGCTTCAAGGGTTGCCGCAAACGAGCATGGTCAGGAAAATCAGCAAACTTGTAGAAGGACACCACCACGAGAATCTGAGAATCCGACTTATTCGATTCTGGTGAACTCGAAATGGGGACGGGACTGGTTTGGCCAGAGAAGCACCTTGAGAGCGTCATGCTTTGAGGGACGCCGTGAGAATCACAGAGTGAAATCCTGACGGGGTTAAAGAACAGTTGAGGATGGCGATTAGACGGTTCGGAAATTGACGAGGTGGGGTGCAATCTAGGGTTAGGGGTTATGGAGCGCAGTGAAGGTGACGATAGCATCCTCAGTGAGAGTGATGGAGGTGCTGTACACCTTAGCATAGAGTTTTTTTTTTTTTTTTTTTTTTTTTTTTTTTGGGTCTGAACCTTAGCGTAGAGTATACTGCTGGAGGTTTCTGTATTTGGACTCGATGGCTGAATTTACAATTATGTCCGTGAATAATATGAGCGGGACAACGTGGCCTGTGGAGATTGCGTTGGCTGCGTGGCTTTATCCAATCATGGCGTCGTATATTTATAGCGGGAAAGGACAAAATAGACTGAGGCCAATTCGCGAATCTGGAAAATAGGTAACGTCGATTCTGCCCTGATTTGCTCCTACATCCAACGATCCCAAAGCCATCTGCCACATCCAACGATCCAAATCGCGTCTGCAGAGCCACCATTAACTGGTTAAATACACTCTCTGTGGCTGCGTTGCGTATGTTAAAACTTGGTATTACGCTTAATCAAACTATGATCAGCAAAATGAAGACGTTAGTAATAATGTGTGCAAATTCTCTTTGCTAATTTTTTCCCTCATATTAATTAACATGATGCGTACATATTTTCTTGAATGACTCAAGTAGCTCGTATCATTAATGAAAAATTTAATGAGTCAAGATACATTTAGTGTTACTATCAACCAAATGTGAAAATAGGACTCGTTTTTGAAATTCAACAACAATCCTGAGGACAGAAATATCGATAATTAAAATGTGTCACATCAACACCTTGATTTATTCAAGAAGGAATGACTTTTATTTCTCAACGATAAAAACAAATTCCTTCAAATTAAGGACTACAACACTCAATCATGTAGGCAGTCTCTTTATCTATTTATAAATTATGACTCTTAAGATTCTAAGTTAACTTATTTTATAATACTTGCCCTTACGAGAACTCTAACGGCTCCTATAATGCTTTCTATAAATATATATATATATTTGCGAAAGTAAGTTAGTTTGTAATAAAATAATAAATAGGAAACACAAGCCAATTAGACCTAGGGATGAAGGGCTGGTGGGAGTTAGAATTTATAATATACTTTTCAAAAGGGTGAAGGGCTACACGTTAAAAGCGATGACCCTAAGAGTACGGTTTGGTTGCATTATTTCTATAGGGAAATTTGGCCACATCCATGTTAGAAACTAGGGTTCCATGGCAACTATATGTAATTGTGTAACATTTAATTTGCTTTAATATTCAGATGAAAAAGTCCACACACATTGCCCAATCAAAAGATCCCAACTAAGACCTTAGAAAGCAATGTTTAGGATGAGTTGCAACTTGCATGTGACACTACATAAATTCCAATGCAACTTGTTGTAGTTAATGCTTCTAGATTGTGTGTGTTTTTTTTTTCTCTTTCCAATATATGTAATTTCAAAATTATCTTCCCATATTAATTATATATATTTTTTAAAATAAGGAATAGTCTAAACTACAAGAGAGAAAATAGCTTTTCTCGCACATACACTACTAAGGTGTCATGGAGATTCGAACTTGAGACCACTAGTCTGCAACTTAAGGCTATATTTCATTGGGCAAGATCTTGTTGGCATACTATGTACTTTTTTTTAGTACAAGTGATAGTCTAAACCACAAGGGAGGGGGATCTCTCTATCTCTCTCTCTCTCTCACACATGCACACACGTACACACAACTATGATGTCGTGAGAATTCAAATTTGAGACCTCCTACAAGTCAATACTCTTTTCCACTATGCTAGATCTCATTGACCACATACTATGTACTTAAAAAAGCATAAGCATGGCTCTTTAGCTTTAAAAATTATGGTTAGAAATTTTCAAATGCTATTATTAGGGTTATGAAAGTTGATTAGTGAACAAAAAATCATATTAAAGATTAAGATAACATATTATAATAAAAGTATAGCTAGCCAGAATCTGATTAGTGGATATACATTGAATAACTAATCACACTTTATTGTACCAATTTTTTTTTTTTGAAAGATAGTAAAATAGTAGCTAGCACACCCTGCCAGGTGGCTTGAAAATGAAAGCTCAATGCTGTCAGCTTTACATCACTACCATGACGTCAGCTCAGCCAATGTAAGCATTTCATTCGAATTTTCTCTTTTACTTTTAAATTTTATGGCTTTCAGCTCCTTCCTTTCATCTTCCACTGAATTGCTTCCCTCTTTCCTTTTCTCATATCATAAAAGCCATATCCCCTCCTCCTCTCATCCCATCCAGACACACCCATTTCAGATTTTCATTTTTCACACAAAAACACAAACACCAGCACCCAAAAAAAAAAGAAAAAAAGAAAAAAAGAAAAAAAGAACAGAGCAGCCTAATTACAAAACCAAATGGGAAGCAACCATAAGAGACTGATCAAGGAGCTAGTTGAAGGGAAGAAGACGGCGGCTGAGCTTCAGATGCTGCTTCACAAGCCCTTTGGAGATCATGGGTCGGCCTCAGCTGAGGAGCTTGTGGTGAAGATCATGACAAGTTTTACAGAGAGTCTCTCTGTTTTGGCTGCTGAGAAGAAGAACCCAGGTGATGGCCATGAAGATCACCAGTCTGGTGCTTTTGGCGAGGTTTATCAGATCAAACCGGAGCCTTCCCATTCACATTGTGACGACCGGAGCTCTGGAGATTCCGGCGAGAGTAGGAAGGTGCAGGGTTCCAAGGATCGGAGAGGTTGCTACAAGAGAAGGTACTGATTTGAATGATCTCTCATATCTGAATAATTGTTTGCCAGTTTCTGTTTTCTTCTTCTTCTTCTTGTGGTTTTGTTTTTTTGGGTTATATTGTCATTTTACTAAAAGATTTGGAAATCTCTTGCCTTTTGGGTTAAGGAAGATATGTGATATGACAAGGAGTTGGATATTTATGCCTAGTTTTCCAGCATATTTGTTGAGCCTTTATCTTTGGGACTTTCTTTTATAGCAAATCTCAATTTTCTTAACACAGTTAATTAGGTGTTTCACTGTTTTTGCTTCTGTGGTTTGACCTGGCTGTTTCATCTTCTTGGTTGCAGAAAGACTTCCCAATCATGGACAACAATCTCTTCTGCAATTGAAGATGGCCGGGCTTGGAGAAAATATGGCCAAAAGGAAATCCTCAATGCTCCATATCCAAGGTTAGGTTTTACTTTTTTTTACTCTAAAAAATGAATAAATTCCCTTTTGGCCCATGCATCATCTCACTGTTAAAAATATAAGTTAGCCCACCCCTTACACCCAAGTTCAAATTCCCTTTCCAGTAGACAAAGATTGTAACAGCTTAGGGCCGGGTATGAAAATATCATCCCATCTCCGGCCCCATCCCATCCTAATTCCCGACTCCGTTCCGTCCCATTGAGGGACTTGTCTAAATCTACGGATTAGATTAAGTTAGAGTATATTATCACTCGTATAAAAGAATAAGGGAATCCGAAACTGCAAACGAAAGGAAGGAATTGTAACAACCAAAGTTGCGTTCCCATTTCAGTCCAAAGAAAAAAAGTTGGGTTCACATTACACGTCTGATGGGATGACATACACATAAAGTTTATCTTCTATTTTCCAAATACCTTAAGCCACGTAAAGTTAAAATAGCAGGCCCCAGCAATTATTGCAGCAGTGCTTATTGAAAGCCATTAAAGAAACAGAGGAACCAAACATGCATAGACTTTTATCAATAAAGAACTTTACAAAATTCCATACCTAACAGAAAACAAAAACTGAATTCTATTTATGCTTACTGATTCTGTGTTGGGATTTTTTCCTTTTTCTTTTTCTCTTGGTAATTACCACAAAAAGCCTAACATATTTATCTCATGGACTTTGGTTGACAGAGCTTACTTCAGATGCACACGCAAGTATGATCAGGGCTGCAGAGCAACCAAACAAGTCCAGCAAGTCCAAGACAACCCTCGCCTGTACCAAACCACATATATTGGCCAGCACACATGCAAAAGCATGGTCCCTCCACAGATGATCATAGGCTCCTCTGATCATTGGGAATCTCAGACTGTGAGCTCAGAATCCGAGACCCCAAACAAGCAAAACCATGATTTCCTTGGCTCATCAGCAATTCCCATTGTAAAACAGGAAGAATACAAGGAAGGGACACCAACACCAAGTGACCTAACAGACAACCTTTCCTCATTGGAGACTAATCATTTGTGGTCTGATTTCAAGGATGATTTTGCTTTGTGTGACCCTGCAGCAATGTGTGTGTCTACCAAAATGGGGTCTGATAATGAGGACGTGGTTTCAAACATGTACTTGGACATGGATTTCGTAGTCAAGTCTATCGATTTCGATCGCGATTTTAATTTTGATGAAGTTGAATTTCCTAAGAACTCCTTGTAATAATAGGGTTGTTGATGCTAAGCTAAGCTAGCCCTTTCTTGTAATTTGCTAGATTGATGTCACTTGAGACATGTTCTCACTTCATTTGTAATTCCCAGTAGCATTCAATAATGATGTTTATAATCAGTTTTGAGTCAGGAAACTTATGCTTCTCCACATCACACATAACATGAATGGCCACAGGATACAAAATCAAAAGTTTGTAATTGTCTAATTGAGAAGTTCTCAATAAAGATAAAGATGCCAAGTCATGACTCATGACAGCTCATTTAGTTTGTTACGCTGTTATGTTTGTTACAGCAGGTTGTTAGGGAAAGTTTAGTACAGCCTTAGTTATATATATACACCTCAAATGTAAATGTAATTAAGTAAGAAAAGTCAGTAAATGAGAAGAGGATTATTCAGTAAAACTATTCTTTTGTTTTCCTTTGTTTCTCTGGTTCCTTTGTTTCTCTTTATGGTATCAATCGCCACTGCCTCACGGCACTCTTCGATCCTAGTCTCTTCCGCTTCTGTGCTCTAAATCTCTGGTTTGATCTCTGATCTGTAAGCACTTGACTGTTGCTGTTCTTTCTCTTGATTCTTTGTCTCCTTCATCTCTGATGGCGTCACCTCTTGAATCCTCTTCTCCGATTCCGTCTATCCCCACTCAGAATCCCAATTCTTCCTTTTCAAACCCTAATTCGTCCCAAACCTACACTTCTCTTACAATTCAAAACATCGGTAGCATGGTGCCGATCAAGCTCAAGCGTTCGAATTATCTGCCTTGGTGTGCTCTGTTTGCCCCAATTCTTCGTCGCTACAAGCTTCTTGGACTTGTTGATGGAACTGAGTCTTGTCCGGTGCCATTTTTACCAGATCGATCACTCAATCCTGCTTACGAGAGTTGGTACGAGAAGGATCAGAATCTTCTCATCTGGTTCAATTCAACACTCTCTGAGGAAGTCATTCCGTTTACTGTTGGTGTTTCTTCGTCCAGAGATCTGTGGCTCAAACTTGAGCAGCGCTTTGGTGGTGTTTCTGATGCTCATATTCATCAGCTTCGTTCTCGTCTTCAGAGTATTCAGAAAGGCTCCCAAACAATGGCTGATTATCTACAACAGCTCAAGGAAATCTCTGATTCCCTCACGGCAGCCGGAGCTTCGGTTTCGGATCGCGATCTTATTGCTGCTACACTGGCTGGGCTTCCTGATGAGTTTGAATCATTCATTGATTCTATCATGCTCCGTCTATCTTCAACATCTCTTGATGAATTACATGGTTTATTACTCAC